CCACCGATACGTGGAGCTCTTAGACAAATACTTTGGCAGTGTGAGTCCCCTCTGCCTCCGGGATCCTTTCCCAGCAATCCCCTTTCTAGCAAACTTTGAGGCCCCTCCAGTCTCTGCGCTGGAAGCCTCAGGGGAGAGGTGAAGTTGGAGCAGTAAGAACAGTAATTAATTTCCCTTTTTAAGCTCTAAGCCTATTAACCAGGTTCTGTAATGGTGAGTGGGGAGGCCGGGGCAGGATCAGGCACCTAATCTCCACTTACAGCTTAGCTCAGACTTTTCACACAGAGACCAAATTCAGATTTTTTTGTTTATTTTAAATTTTTATTTTTTTAGAGACCCAGCCTCACCCTGTCACCTGGAGGAATGCCTGCCATAGCTGGAGTGTGGTGGCGCAATCATGGCTCACTGCAGCCTTAACCTCTGGCCTCAAGCCACCGTCCCGCCTCAGTCCCCCAATGGGCTGGGACCGCAGGTGCACCCTGCCACACCCAGCTAATTTTTGTATTTTTTTTTCTTTAGAGATGGGGTCTCACTGTGTTGCCCAGCCTGGTCTCTAACTCTAGGGCTCAAACGATCCTCCCACCTCAGCCTCCAAAAGTCTGGGAATACAGGCATGAGCCACTGTACCCGGCCTCATAGTCAGATTTTTATCACTGGTTCCTGACCTTGGATTTACATTGGAATCTTCTGGATAATTTTTTTTGAATAGCAATGTCGAGGTTCCATCTGAAATAACTTATCTGAGGGACAGCTCAGATCTTAAATGGGGCATAGTAATAACTCCCTAATTTGTGTCCTGCTTAACAATTTATAAAGTGCTTTCGGGTCCTCTTGTTTGCTTCTCATCCCATCCTCTCAGTAGGTGTTGGCATCTCCATCTTCAGGCCAGAAAACTGAGACTCAGATGTTTTAGGACATGTTTAGCTAGATGGTTGGTGGCAGAACCCTGCTTAGAACTCAAGTCTCTCACCCTGTGGTCCAGAATTCCCTTCTTTCCTGCCCCACCATGTCTAGGAAGAGGGGGCTAGCCCAGCGTTTGGTGGGAACAATGTCACAGATTTTAGGGGAAAGGCAAGGGGGGCCATAGACAAAAGTAGATAGGACAACTGTCATGATCAGGAGGAAAGAGGGAGAGGGGAAAAAACTAATTCAAGGCAAGGTGCAGTGGTTCATGCCTGTGATCCCAGCACTTTGGGAAGCCGAGGCAGGCAGGTCACTTGAGGCCAGAAGTTCGAGACCAGCCTGGCCAACGTGGCAAGACCCCGTTCCTACAAAATATTTTTAAAATTGGCTGGGCTTGATAGCACGTACCTGTAGTCCCAGCTACTCAGGAAGCTGAGGCAGAAGGATCACTTGAGCCCAGGAGTTTGAGGCTGCAGTGAGCTATAATCATGCCACTGCACTCCCTAGCCTGGATGACGGAGCAAGAGACCCTGTCTCTAACAAAATAACAAAACAAAAAAAAGTGAAAAAGCTGAACCAACTACTAAAGCTTGGGTGTTGGGGGCAGAACCCAAGGTGGGAGGCGTGGTCTTGAAAAGGAAGTGGCTGCAGTCGCATGTCTAGCTCAACTCGGCCTCCCTCCCACCCCGTCCTCCCAGGTGTGCGAGCTGGACATTATCTTCAACTTTGAGAAGGCCTACTTCATCCTGGATGAGTTTTTGATGGGGGGGGACGTCCAGGACACCTCCAAGAAGAGTGTGCTGAAAGCCATCGAGCAGGCCGACCTGCTGCAGGAGGTACGGGCCAGGGACAGTGAGGAGGAGGAGGAAGCGCACAGTGGCAGACGCCCTGCCCACCGTCGCCAAGGGGGCCCCCCTCCCTGTGACATCTGACCCCTAGCACACCTAGCTTTCCAGCTTACCCTCAAGCCCTGACCCCCTGGGGTGGGAGGTAGGGTGGCAGATAGCCCACCTGTGTACCCCTCACTCCAAGCCGTCCTTACCCCAAGCCCCAGATGTCTCCTGGCCACTCAGTCTCCTTTGTTCAATTCTCTGAGCAATGCTTAACGCCAAAGGGTTAAGGGTTTGCTTTGGAGTTAAGGGTTGCTTGCAGAATTGGAGAAGGGGCACCTGGTAGATCTTTCTTTCGTTCCCTGATTTCTTCCCTGACCCCTCTTTTTTTTTTTTTTTTTTTTTAAACACACACATACTCCAAAGCACTGCTTCTTAGGAGGAAGAGGCTATGGGGATTTGGGGGCTGGGGCAGAGGGCACCTGGATGTTGGTTCTCGCTGCTCTCTGACACCCCCGCCCTCACCCTATTACTGCCTGCCCCCTCTCTTCTGTGCCATCACCGGGCCCTGGTGCAGGGAGATGAGTCACCGGAATCTGCAGTGATGATTGAGCCCGGCCTGAGCTGGCTCTGAGGAGGGGGAGAGATGGGGGGTAAGGGGGGGGGCTCATCTCTGCAGTGAAAGAGAGGGCAGAATTGAACTTGCCACCTCACTGGTCGAGTTTCACCTTCACACATGCACACACACGCACACACATACCCTGGCACACACACACATGCCCTGGCACACACACCCACCATGTAACCAGTGTTCCGCTCAGACCCTAATGACGCATCTCCCTGCAGTCTGGTTCACCTTCCCTCAGGCACCTGGCACTCACCTCCCACTGCCTCCCCAACTCTGAAAAACAGGACCCAGCCAGCTGCACCCCCCAGGCCCCCAGAAAGATCTCCCACCTCCCCATCCTGGCTTCACTCCCTTTACTCAAAGCTGCCAAGGGGGGGGCCCTGCTCACCAAGCTCCTGGCTTTGGGTTCTCTGGGTGGTGATGGACTCAACCTGGACCCCACCTGCCACTGTTGGCTGGTCCTGGGAGGCTGGTGGGGCCCCCCCGAAGGGCTCGCTGGTCTGGCCTTGGGCTCACGTTGGCTTCTCTCCCCCTCCCCCGTGTCTGTGCCTCCCTCGTCTGACTCTTCCTCGTGACTACTGTCTTGCCCACCCTGTCGGCCTCTCCTGGTGTCTCTGCGTCACCCTCTGTCTGTCTCTGCCTTAGGAGGATGAGTCGCCGAGGAGCGTGCTGGAGGAGATGGGTCTGGCATAGCCCCCGCCGGGCCGGGGCGTGGAGATGGGGTCCTGGCAGTGGGGTGCCAACGGCCGCGTCTCCTCTGCCCAGGGCGCTGTTCTTGGTGGGACTCAGCTGCCCCTCCTCTGCTGCCTCACCTTCTTCTGGAGTGAGCTGTGGGCTCAGGCCCTTCAAACATTCCCTCCCTCCACCCCCTACCTCCACTTTCCCCTTTTCCCACTGAAGGTTTTAAGAGCTAGGAGGCAGGAAAATGTGACCCAGATGGGGGTGCTATTGGCTTTTATTTCCTGCCTTTGCAGAACCGATGTCACCCCAGACGTCCTCCCCTCCCTTATAACTGTAAATATATAAATAATCCGGGTTAAAGGGAAAAGGTTTTCAGGGCGCTTCTCTTCCTCTCTGCCCCGTAACCTACCTCCACCCTCCCAATGGCCAGCCAGGGCGGCTTCTCTGCCTGGGAGGGAAGCCTGCCCCCCCCCCCTTTCTCCTTGGCTGCAGCTGGCCTCTATCCTGTGCCAGGGAGGAACAACATAGTTAATTTTTTTCTAACCTTGCCACTTTGAGGGAAGGAAGGGTTGGGGGAAGGGCAAGCTTTATGGGACCATGGTCCTGGCCCTGTCCCTCTTTCACTCCAGTTCTGGGTGAGGCAGGAGCTGGGAGGGGCGGGGAGGGGGAAGTGTCTGCCTTTATTTCCTTTCTTCTGAAATAAATGGAAAAGCATTTCTGGACTTTGCTGGCCTTGGGCTTTGTGAAGGAAGGCAGGGCTGCTGGCATCATCAGGAGGCCAAGGGATCCTGCCAGCCTTGGGGAGAAGCAAAGTAGAGAGCACTCAGTGAAATTAGAATTCCAGATACACGAGGAATCATTTTGGGGATAAATGTGTCCCATGCAATGTTTGGGACACACTTAACTCTAAAACTGCATGCGTTGTGGATCTGGAATTTCAAATTTCTGTGTCCTGTATTTTATCTGACCACCTTACCTTAAACAGATTTTTATGCAGAATGCATCTCCAAACAGGCTGCCCCCAACTCCCTGAGCTGCCTTTACAGAAGGAGGAACAGCTCCTCAGGATGTGGGTTCATTGTGAGGGGATTTCATTTGCCCAGTTTAGTTTCATTTGAATCAGTTCACAGGTACCTGTGATTAGAAAAGTCCAAGATGAGAGGTCGAGGGAGGTGCAGGTCGCTCGAGCCCAGGAATTCCAGACCAGCTGAGCAACATGGCAAAACCCCATCTCTACCAAAAAAAAAAAAAAGCAAAAATTAGCTGGGCATGGTGGCGTGCACCTGTAGTCCCAGCTACTCAGGAGGCTGAGGTGGGAGGATCACCTGAGCCCAGGAATTCGAGGTTGCAGTGAGCTGTGATCACGCCACTGCACTGCAGCCTGGGCGACAGAGTGAGACCCTGTCTCAGGAAAAAGAAAAAGGGTTAAGAAGTGGCTTTAGTCAGGGTGTCTCTGTGGCTGCCACCCCCTCCTCCCCGAATTTCTGGCAAAGTACCTAGGACCAGGGAATTTAGGGAGCAATGGAGGGAGGTGGGTGGGTGAACAGAGGAGACTTTGGCATTACCCACGCAACCCCAGGATCTTGGGAAAAATGAGCCGGGTGGCACCCAGAGCTGTGGCACTGGAGCGGGGTGCCTTTTTCTTTTGAACCAGAGGTCACTGGACCCATCCTAGACAACTGGCTCTTTTATTGCATTCCGCTGGGCTTCTCTCTGTCAAGCCCTGGGGAAAGATGACTTTACCACCATCCCCCAAGCTAGAAGTGGAATTTCGGGTTTCTTAATGGGTGTGAGCCATATTCTCTAAAAGCAGTTTCAGGACTTTCCCCACTCATCCCTCGCCTTGATTTGGGGACAGGAAGCAGGAGGAGATGGGGACTGTGGCTGGCGCTTCCCTCACCGCCCCTTGGGAAGGACCACACAGGCCCAAGGGGACGGGTGAATAACCGAGAACAAAGTCCTAATAAAATAGTCACTTTTATTTCTTAGCAAAACTATTTCCTCCGTGAGGGATATTTACAACAGAGAAAGGAAAGAAGGGGTCAATTCACAGCGACTTGGAGAGGTTGGAGGAGCTCGTGGAAAGGGCTGGAGACAGACACACTTCACACAATTAATTGGAACTGCTTTTTCCGGTTTCAGATGGGGACGTCCCCAGAGGGAGTTGATGGGGCCGGAGTCCCCCGCAGGGAGGGAACTGGCACAAACCAGCGGTCCTCCTGGGCTGGTCCCGGGTCACCCGTGGGTGAGCTCTGGGAGTTCGGGCTCTGGACCCGGGAAGGGGGTCTGGCCGGTCCCGGCGCAGCCTGGGAACGGGGGCGGGGCCGAGGGGCGGGGGCGGGGCGCATGCAAACACCGAGGGGGAGCTGGCGACACGGAGGGGGGCGGCGGCGCGCGCGGCGGGGGCGCGCGGGGGCGGGACCGGGGCGGGTCACGGGCGCCGGAGCAGCACGTGCTCGATGTAATTCTCCAGCTCCTCCTGCTCCTGCAGCCGGCGCTCCTCCGCCTCCGCCTCCTCCTGAGCGCGCCGAGCCTGGGCCTCCCGGCCGGGATAGTGGCGCGAAGGCGGCAAGGCGTGGTGGTAGTGGCGGCGGCGCGAGGCCGAGGGCGGCTGCAGTGTCCGCGGCCGGATGTAGTTGGGGAAGGGGTGGTACGGCCCTGGCGGGTACACCTCGTCCTCCTCCCGATCCCAGGGCGGGAGCACCTCGTTCCAGTCCGGCAGTTCTTCCCGAGCGGGGGCGGGGGCGGGGGGCGGGGGCTGCGGGGAGCGGACGTGGGTGGGAGCGGGGGCGACCCGGGGGGGCGGCACGGGCTCGGGAGGGGCGTTCTTCTTCCGCTTCCGTTTCTCCTCCACCTCCTCGATGATGCTGACCACGTCGTCCGCTGGCAGGTGGAGTTTGGTGGACAGCTCAATAAGGCTGTCGATCGTCTGCGGGTCCATCTCCTCGTCGTCGTCCTCCTCCTCCCCGCCCTCCTCTGCCCCCTTGGCCTCCTTCTGCCGGTGGCCCGGCGTCTCTTCCTGTGAGCGCTTGTCCTCCGCTCCGGCTTCCCCGTCCTCCTCCTCCGCGAACAGGAGCGCGTTCTGCCGCGCCCTCTCCGCCTCCTCCGCCTCTGCCTCCGCCTCCGCCGCCTCCTCATCCTCTTCCCCCACCCTCTCCTCCCCGCCGCGTCTCTCCTGCTCCGCCTCCTCCTCCTCCCGTGCACTCTCTCGCTCCTCCGCCGCCTCCTGCAGCCCCCGACCCCCCAGGCCGCGCTGCCGGGCCCCGCCCTGCAGCAAATACTGGAGCAGCAGGTCCGAGGCGAGGTCGGCCAGCCGCTCTTCCTGCGCCGCGGCCTGCCGCGTGGCCTCCGCCTGCCGCCGCCCGGCCTCCACCTGCGCCAGCCCTTGCTGGAGAAGGCGCTCGCCAGCCTCGGAGCCACCCAGGAGTGCGCTCTCCGGCCGGCGCGCCTTGGGGAACGGGGCGGCCAGGCCTTGGTACGCCTTGGACAGGGGTGCCAATGCCTCGCCTAGGTGTGTTTTGGGGGAGGACACTCCTTCCCCGAACTTGTGGGTTTCGGGAAGGGGCCCGCTCTCGGGCATACGCGCCTGGAATTGCGAGGGGACCGGGGGTGGCAGGGGCGCGCGCTCCGGGACGCGCGCCTGGAACTCTCCCCAGGAAGCGCGCCACACGCGTTCTGGCCCCGGGCTCTCCAGATTCACTCGGGTCAGCGTGTGCGTGCGGGTTTCAGTCTCTGCTGCTGCCGTCTCCTGCTGGCGCTTGGCGCTACTTGGACTAAAATCTCGCAGTTCCTGGAGCAGGGACGCAAGCGCCTCGAGCTCCTGGGAGGGATCGCTCGCTTCGGGACCATTCTCCGGAGTCTGAGGGCGAGGCGGAGCAGCGGGCGCCGGGCTCTCCGGCGCCGGGAGGCTGTGGGTCTGGCTGCGCACGGTCTCGGTCAGCAGAGCTTCAGCTGCTTCTTCCGCCGGCTCCTGCTGGGAGCCGCTAGGTGCTGGGGGCGAGGCGGGGCGGTCGAGTGCCTGCAGCAGCACCGCGGCCAGCGCCCGGGGATCCACGCCCTGGAAAAGCTCTCCCTCGTCCTGCGGCTCGGAATTCCGAGCGGCTCGGACCTCTGGGGCGCTGCCATCCTTTGGCCCGGGCACTGCGTCCCCCGCCACCGGCTCTTTATGCTCAGAGCTGAGGGGAGGAGGCTGCGCCTCAGGGCGACCAGAGGGTGCTGCCCCTAACGCCTTGATTAGCAGAAGGCAGAAGAGGGCGGAAGCCGGCCATCTGAGGGCTTTCATGACCAAGAGGCTGCCAGAGACTGAAAAATAGAAGGGACCAAAAAAAAAAGAGGATTTCTGTAAGAATTCCCCTTTCTAGATCTATGTTCCCTTCCCCCACCTTTCAGCAGGAAACCCAGGGTTTCCCTGATCCCCCTAACCTTACCCAGAAGAGGAACGTTTAGGAGCAAAGGAGGAAGATGTTGTGCCGATCTCTGGAGTCGTGTAAATGGGAAAAGAACGCCCGAAGCCCTCGCTTACCCAGGGCTTCCTCGCCCCCTTCCCTGAGCCATCTCACTGCCATCGCCCACGTACTAAGCAGCAATATGGGGGAAAAAAAAATCTCTGCTCCCTCCCTCCCCGTAGGACTCCCCGGATGGTGCGTGGGCGACTTCAGCAGCAAGAGAAAAAGCTGCGACTCCCCCGTTTACCGGGGACCCTTACCAGGAGGCTCCCGCTGTGCTTGCAACACCCCCATCGAGAGGAGAGAGAACCCTCCCTCGCGCCCACGGTTTGAGGGACGGACAGCGGAGTATTTACCAGCTGGTGTCACGAAGCGGGAGGTGGAGAGGAGGGTCGGGGCGGGATGGGGACTGGGGAAGATCGGGACGCGTCTGCCTCGGCTCCGAGCGGTGGCCGGGGTATGAGCGACGGTCGAGGTCTGGCGTCCCCTGGGCTGGGCTCAGCTGGGTCGGCGCGGCTCCGGGCGGCTCGCTCGCTCCGGCTTCAGCACGCTGGACAGCGCCCGCGCCTCCACCGCCTTATAAAGGGGAGCGCGCGGGGTCACGTGGGCGCGCCCCGCCCCATTGACGTCAATGTTCATTCATGGGGAAGCGGGCGGGCGCCTGGAGGAGGGAGGACGCTCTACGATTGGAGGGTGCCTGCCTCTGCCGGCCTGCGCCTGCGCGCTGGGGCCTTCGGCTGGAGGGGTGTGCGCTAGCGGAGCTCCGGGAAATGAATGAATGAATGAATGAATGAAATGCTGAAGCGGGCGGGGCGGGGGGCTATGAATGAATGAAGGAGGGACGAGGAGAAAAGGATGAATGAATGAATGGGAGAATGAATGGAAGGGTGGATGCAGAGGCGCTGGAAGGCGGGAGGGTGGGTTGCAGAGCAACTTGGAGCTGCTGGATGGAGTCCGCCGTTGCCGAGTGGACTTGGAAAAGGGCAGCCCCAGCGTCTGACTGGGCACCAGTGGGAGATAAATACTGGGGAGGGGAAGGATAAAGATTCGACAGCCGAGGAGGGGGCCGGGCTCGCCACCCCGAGACCACATGCCCAAGGACGGCATGAACCTGAGCACGGGGGGACATATCTGCGCGCCTGCCGGCGCTGTCCACGGATCGGCGGTGCGGGGTGGCAGCCCACTGGCAGGGGCAGATGGGTGGATCTTGCGGTTTTGGTAATCCCATCGGAAAGGGTCGGAGTCGGAAGAGAAGGGGGAAGGAATGAGGATGTGTGTGCCTCTGGGTCGTGTCTGTTTCTCGACCCGTGCTGTGTCTGGAGAAAAAGGTGTCTGTCCTTCTGTCCCCGGACTGCCGCGTGTGTCAAGGCCCCCCGCTGTGCCCCCTTCGACCCATCTCTTCCCATTCTCCCCCAGCCGCTTTCCCTCCAGCCACTTTCCTCCCCCAAGGACGTTTGGAGGGCGAGACCAGACCAGGTGGGGAGGGGGTTGCGCAGGTGGGGGGGTGACTCAACTCCAGCTCTCTCCACCGCTTAAAGGGAAGGTTTGAACGCGATGGGAGGGGGGCATGCAACGTCACAGATACCCCCTTTCTGCCACCAGACCCTTCGACCGTATCTCCTGCCAGAGAGGTTGGGGCTGGGGGCTTGGACAGCTAGAGGTTCCGGGGGTGGGGGGCGATGACGCACAGATTTGCGCAAAGAGAATCCATCAGCGAGCCGGGTCCGGTGAAGGGAGACCAGCAGTGGGCGGGGGTGGGGGAAGAGGACGGAAATGGGGAGGGGGCAGGGGAGAGGAGAGGGTGGCAAGGGGGGCAGCCACTGCAGGAATGAAGGGGAGGGAGGGAGGAAGGCTGGAGGGGGCTGCGGTGCTGGCAGAGAGCGGTGCGGGGGCGTGGACAGGGAAGGGGGGAACGACAATGACACACGCCAGACACACACGAACTGCGGACACAGAGATGCTCGTGGGCACACGCAGGGCACCCGCACCCTAAGACTCTGAAAACCGAGGTCAGGGCTGTCTGCCAGGGGCTCAAAGACTCTTTCAGAAACAGTCCTCACCCCCCTCCTCACCTCTTCCTAGAACTGACCCCCCTTCCAACCCCCCCCTCCCTACACACACACTCACGTGCTTTCTCTCTATAACCAGCAGTGGCTTCTCGCTTCCATCAGTGGCTCGACTTTCCCAGAAGAAAGCCCATCAGCTCTGCGGGGAAATAAATGGGGAGGAGTGGAGAGGGAGGAAAGAGAGAAGAGATGGGCGCAGGGGAGGAGGAAGAAAGGAAAGGATCTGGAACAGGTAGAAGGAACAGGCTAAAGGAGAGAGAGAGGGGGAAAAAAAAAAAACACTGAGAACCAAGGTGACAGTGGAGATTCCAAAGAAAGGAGGGAAAGAGGGGTTAGGAGACCCTGAGGCAGTGCCTCCCATCCCCACACACAACTAGCCACAGCTTCCCCTCCTTCCTTTCCTCTCCCCCCATCACCCCTTCATCTTCCCAGCCTGGATACAGAGAGCAGTGGGATGAGGAAGGGGTCACGTTACCTTCCTGAGGAGGATGAATCAGAGAGAGATGGCTCAGACATCTGGAGAGGGGGAGGGGAAGCCATCCAAGAGAGAAGGGAGAGGGGAGGGAGGGAGCCAAGGGGGCTGACTGAGTGCTGATGGGGATTAGAGACCAAGTTGCAAGATGAGAGACAGGCACCTAGAGAAACTATATTCGCCTGTGGGCTTGTGTGTGTGCACACACACCTGGGTGTGCATGTACATGGCCTGTGCACGTATGTTTACATGTGTGCAGAGATGAATTAGATACATGATGGGGGGAAAGAAAGGGAATGGGGGAAGCAATTGTGTATTTAATCAGATCAACAGTGGATGGGTATGGTAGTGTTTCCAATTTAACTGTGTGATGTTCTCTTCCATTCTGTGTGGCTGTGTTTGTGTTTGCTTCCAGCTGTATGTGTATGCGCGCAAGCATGTGTGTGTTGGGGGGGAGTTCTTATCTCTTCTTCATGCCTGTATGCCCATGCAGTTTGGGGTCTTTGAACACACCAAGTTTTGGGCATCTGCTGGTGTCCAAAAACTGTGCCTGGCTTGGTGGTACACAATAATGTGTGTGTAAGCATACACATGCCCCCACTCCCCATACCTCCCTTCCTCCACTTAAGCTCAGAAGCCCAGGAAGAGCTTCTCAGAAATCAGCATCCCCAGGGTTCCAGCATCCTGTGGTGAGGGAGCAGGGTGGAGGTGAATGCCTGGGGCACCAAAGGCTTGGAGATTTCACAATCTGGGTCTTGATTCCTTATGTCTGCATGGTCTCTGGACTCATTCTGTTTCTGCTTCTCTCCATCCTAGTTCCCTACCTGGGTCAGCTCGATCACACACTCCCCCCTCTACTGGGGGTGAGCTGTGCCCTTCATACCCTGCTGCCTTTAGGGGCTTCTGGACTGTGCACAGGTTCCTGGGATGGGGAAAGGAGAGAGACAGTGAGAAAAAGAAAGAGAACTGAAGAAAGTGGGAGAGACAGAGTGCTGGAAAAGGCAGAGCTGAGATGGGGACCTGGTTGGGGATGCCTGGTATTGGCTCTGACTTGTTTGTGTGAATCCATCATCTCTCTTTGTGTTTGTTCCTGAATCTCCCTCCAAGAGGGTAGCTGGAGAAGATAGGGTCCAGCATCGTAGGAATCTAAACTCAAGATTTGGAAAACCAGGGGATCGGGGAAGAGAACTGGGTCTTTTCCCTGAGAAGGTCTGGGAGAGAAAGAGAGAGCAGGGGCTTGTGGACCCCGAAGCTTACAGTTCCCCTCTTCTCCTACCCCTCCCCCCAACCGGTGACTCACCTCTGCAGCCTTTAACTGCGTCAGCCATGGTGGGGGGGCAGGCAGGGAGGGGGCACTTAATGAGAGGGGAAGGGGTCTTCACTTTGAATTCACAGAAGATGTTAAAGGCCCCCTGAAAATTGCCCCATTTAGAACACACTCTTGCCCTATCCCCTCCCCATCCCAGGGCTGGGGAGTCCTGGGGAAGGGACTGAGGGGAGGGCTAGGGGGCTACTGGAGAGTCTGGAATGATGAGTGATGGGAAGGGGGTGCTCACCCTGATTTTTAGTCCCGAGGTCCCACTCGCCCTCAGACCCCCACCCACTCCTGAGTGGGGGAGGGGAGACCCAGCAAGCGGGGGAGGGCAAAGCCGCAGAGATGAGTCACCAAGAAAGAGAGAGAGAAAGAGACAGAGAAGGGGAGAGACACGAAGAGAGAGCCACTGGAGAGACTAACACACACTCACACACTCAAATACATACACAGACACACACCATGAAGGTGGTATCCACCAAGAAAAAGAAAACCACTTCTGTAATCCTGAACCAGCCTCCTTCAACTTCCACCTGTCACACACACAACACACTGTCCTAAAGAATCACACAGAGATTGGGAGACACACCCACTTACACAAACACAGTGTCACACCTCGCCTAGCAGTCACCCAGACCGAGGCTGGAGATGTGTCCGGGGCGATGGAGATGTTCACTAAGTGTTCTCATTCATTCCTTTTACCAGGTGGAGGGAAGGGTGCCAAAACCCTCAAGGAATGCGACTTCAGAAATCCAAGACGCGGTTGCAGGGACTCACAGGCTGCGCTGTGCACACTCGACAATACACGCAAGTCGCCTGCTTCCGAGTCCACACGTACATAGTAACATATCAAGCATCGTCCTCATCAAAAAAGAAAACAACAAAAAAAGCCACTTGAGGTACCTGATTCTGAGGTACACCAGGCACGTTGTCTCGAATCCATCCCACCCAGACACCCCCTGATTCGTGCACACATGTCCAGAAACGCAGACACACAAAGACGCCCACGGACACACTCACACGGACGAAAACCACCTTGTGCTGCCTCGCCCGCGTCCGCGCACGTCCTGGCGCCCCCGCGTGTTACTTTGGGGGATCGCAGTCTCTGCCGCTCCAGAGCAGGCTGGATGGGGGGCGGTGCCCAGGCTCTCTCCACCTCCTCCCCACACCATGGGTTGCCCACCTAGAAATGGAGAAGGCGAGCCAGGCTGGCCACGGGCGACTCTGGAACTGGGAGTTAGATGCCTGGATCCTGGCTGATGGAAGCTGGTCTTTGATACCAAGCGGGACTTGGGAGAAGAACCCACAGAATTTGGGGAGCAGCAGATCCCCAGATCCAGGGAAAAACAAGGCCGGGGCGAGTCAGAGGGCAGTGCTGCTGCCCACCTCGGTCCTGAGCAGCGGTTTCTTTCCTCAATTGGCAAGGGTGGGGTAGGGGCACACGGCCAGCAGCCCACCCCAGAACCCCTCCCCACCTCTTCCCTCTCCCCACAAAGTCATTAGCCCCATTGCCACAGGGCTTAGAGATCCTCTCTGATACAGGCTGCTGGGGAAAGGGGAAGGTAATGTGTCTCATCCCTCCCCACTGAGAAGTGAAACAGACACAGAGGATGGCCAGAAGGTCCATTTTATTGTCATACAGTCGTGGTTGCTGTGACAAGGAGGGTGGCAGCATGGCCATGTCTGCCTGGCACAGGAGGCAGCCAAGCAGAGCATCACAGTAGCAAAACCACAGCTGGGGAAAGTGGTGAAGTGGCAGCTGGCCCCCATTCGACCTGCTGGTGTCCCCCTCTGCCGATGTAGATCCCATCCCCAGCAAACCCCAAACTCACTGCCAACATTCTCCTAGCACCTAGGCATTGCCCAACAAGAAGTTCAAGCGAGAATCATCAGACAGCGTGAAGTTCTAGGTCATGCTCTAGGCTTGGGACACCTGGGTTCTATTCGCTGGGAGGCTCCCAGCTACTTTGAGTGACTTAGAAGTCACTTTGATCTTTCCCAGACTTCTGTTTTCTTCCTCTGCCTGTGATGTGGGGATCCAACATTGGAGACAGCGCTGTGCAGATGCAGCTGTTACTACTTGCAATTAAATAGAAGACTCTCAAAGTTCTAAAAGCATAAATGATCTAGAGGAAGGGAGTGGTGTCCAGAAATACCAGGAGGTGGGGATTCCAGTTGCACTAGAAGGCAGCCTGGTTGGAACCAGGAGACAGCCCCTATGCCAGGCTGAGGGACCTGCCCTCCACTATACCAAACTCTCCAGCCAGAACCCCCGCCCACCCCTCCACCCCCGCCTGGGTGAGCTGGGGCACGGGGGAGCCTGCAAAACAGCAACGTTGTGCAAAGCCGGAGGAAACCCCAGTGAGAAAGACAGACTCAGAAAGTGCATCACCAAGGTGAACAAGAATCCAAACGGGGAGCATTCTAAATACATTTCATTTTACAGGGTTTCTCTCTCTGGATTGACACTGGGCTGGTGATGGAAAGCGGAACAGAGGGGCAGGAAAATGAGCACTGCGGCGCTAAGGTGCTAAGGGTCGTAGAGATCCAGACAGGATGAGGAGGGGGGGCTAGAGAGAAGTGTGGAGAGGGCACTGATCTCTGATACCAGAGACTTGAGCGGGGGGAGGGAGTTAGGGGTCGGGAGGGAAGTGCAGTGCCGGTTTTGAGGGCTTTAAAAAGGGCAGGAGGAAGAAAAGAAACCCGGATTGAGCGGCTGCGCTCGGGGAGGAGGCTGGGTATCCCACACACTCTTGCGCGCTTCCACCCACGAGGGGGCAGAAGGGAGAAGCCAGGAAAGGCAGAGTTCACGCCGGGGCTGGGGTGATGGACAGGGAAGGACTCCGAAGCCTGTGCTGGGACCAGTTCTTTGGAATAGAAGAGAGTGGATAACAGCAGCGCAAGCCCGCCCCGCCCCCAAATCCGGCAGTTCAGGTCAGGGCATAGGCAATAGTGTTTGGGGGCTCTAGAGGCGAGATGGTAAGGGGAAAAGGGACAGCGTGGGGGGACCTGCGCCGGTAAGGGTGAGAGTCAGAGGGGACTTCCCAAGGGAGGCCGAGTAGGAAATGGCAGGGAAGAGGCTGGCTGGGGAAACTACGGAAGGGGGCGGGTCCAAAGTGCTTCATTTTGCCCCACTCCGCCAGAGGAGAGCCTCAGATGTCGGCCTCCAGCAGGTACTGTTCAGTATAACCCTTCACCAGCTCCAGCCCCAGCCCGGCCTGGCAGAAGTCAGCCAGCTGTGACCACAGCTGGGGCTCCAGGAAGAGCTGGCACATGACGTTGAGGCCGGCGAGGCGCGGGGTCTGGCGCTGCAGGTGCCACACCAACTGGCTCTGCACCTGCGCGCCGTCGCTGCCGAAGGCGTCGATGTTGAGGTAGCGCCAAGTGCCGTCCCCGCCGTGCGGGATGGGGAAGGGACGCGTGCACAGCGTGAGCACGCGCGGGCGCGCGAGGCTGTCCACGCGCCACTCCAGGCCCTTAGCCGCCAGCAGGCGCAGGTTGCTCTCGCTGGGCCGGTAGGGCTGCCAGTCCTGGATGATGGTCCCGCCCGGAAGCACGTCGCGCTGCACGGAGGGCGACAACAGGAGGCGTGCCACGTCGCCGCCTGCCTCGGACACGGCCTCGGTGGGCAGCGGCGAGAAGGTGCCGGAGGTCCGCAGCTCCGCCAGCCGCGCGCCCAGCCGGGCCAGCAGCGCTGACGCGTTGAATCGGACCAAAAGGATGGCCTGCGGGGGGCACGAGTGAGCGCGAGGCGGGCGCGGGAGGGTTGGTAAGCCTGGCGCCTCTCGGCAGGAATCTTCACTCCACGTTCACGCCCACGGGCTCCAGAGGAGCGACCGTGACGGCTCCGGGCGGAGTGGGGGTATGGGAAAGCCTGGGTTTCAAGGGTACCAGAGAGGGACCAGGGGCACGGGCTCCCAATACCTGGATCCCCAAGGAGAGTTGGGATCAGTGTGGAGTAACCAGGGAACCGAGGGTGCGGGTCCCCGGGTCTCCAGGGACGTGACAGCCAGGGAGGCCGATCAGTGAGTAGGATTAGGGAGGCGCAGAGGGAGGACAAAGGCTCAGAGGAGGATGCTTGGGTCCCTGAACAGAGGCAGGATCCTAGGGGAGGCAAGGTCCCCGAAGTTGGGATGTAAGGTTTCAGGCTGGGAGTCAGGAGTCTGACTTCCCCTGAGTCAAAGGGTCTGGTAAGGACTGGAAGTCTCAGGGCAAGGCTCATGGGCCGCACCACTCCGTAGAGCCTGGAGAGAAAGCAAACTCGGGCTCCGCTGGGCGTGGGGAAGGTCTCCCCGTGTGCCCCAGCAGAGAGGCCCAGCCATCCGAGCTCCCCGTCCTTCTCACCTGCTTGGTGATTAGGCGGTATTTCTTCAGCTCCCGGGGGCCCAGCTGGTCGTCCCGGGTGAGCCGTGCCACCTTGACCCCCGGGTGCTGTTGCTTGACCAGCTGCGAGCAGTAGCGCTGCAGCAGCCCAGCCACGCCCTTCCCGCGCTCCCAGGGCGCCACGCGCAGCCCCTCCACCAGCGCCGTCTCCCCGGCGTCGATCACGTTCACCGACTCCAGCGCGATCTGCGGACCGAGGCCGTTAGCTGGGGACCCTCCCCGCCTCTGCCCCTGCCAGGGCTGTCGGCTCACTGAGCTCTTCTCTTCCCACACGCTGAGCACTCCGTCGACATCACCCGGGCACCAGGCCAGGCCTGGGGCAGCACGGCACCTGGGCCTCAGATTCCAGAGCCGGCAGAACAGTCATTCGGGGGGTCTCGTCCACCTTTTTTTTTTTTTTTTTTTTTTTTTTTTTTTAATTTAAGGCAGGGTCTCGTCATCCCAGGCTGGAGTGCTGTGGTGCGATCACAGCTCACTGCAGCCTCAAGCTCCTGGGCTCAAGCGATTCCCCCCGCCCCCAGCCTCCCTACTAGCTAGGACGGCAGGCACGCACCCCGACTCCCGGCTTTTTATTTATTTTTATTTTTTAGAGACAGGGGTCTCACAAGTTGCCTAGGCTGGTCTGAAACTCCGAGGCTCAAGTGATCCTCCCGCCTCGGCCTCCCAAAAAGCTAAGGTTACAGGCGTCAGCCGCCGCGCCCGGCCCCTTCCACCTCTCCAGATGCTCCAGCTCCGAGTGCAACAGGTCCCGGACCGTTCGCCACGCCCCTTACTTGGCTCCTCCCCCGGGAGCTTGCCACGCCCACTTCATCTTAGCTCCTCCCCCAGCCCAACTCTAGGCTCTTTCTGCTCCTGGCTTCCAGGTCCTCTTCGGGCAAGGGTTCCCTGTGCTGGGGGGTCCTGGTCCCAGTCTAGCTGCTCCCACCCCTAGCCTACCCCCTCTATCCTGCTCCTCACTTCTTGCTCTCTTGCCCCCAGGAACTTCTCCAGTGGATCCTCAAACTTTGAAGCGCTCTCCTGTTCCTCCGCTTTCTCTGCTTTCGGAGTCCTCCACGTCCTCCACCCCACCCTCACTGACATAGCCCCTGGATCCACACTGCACGCCTTGCTTTTTGGTCCTAAAGCAGACTCTGCTTCCTCGGCATCCGGACGAAGGCTGGAAAGAAGCTCTCCCCCTCCTTGTCCTAAGATCCACGCACCCGCTGGTGGCTTCACCCCATGTCACCTCGGCCCTGCCCCCGGGCTCACCACGCCTCCGTTGCGCTTGGCCAGCACCACTGTGCGGTCGGGGTCCCGGAGCCAGCTGTGGTAGCGGCTGGGAAGGTAGTCCAGGCCACCGTAGATGCCGCCCGAGATGGCCATCACCTCCTCAAACTCCCGTTCCGTGGCCACCACGAAGTCCAATGGCTCGGCCTCAGCCTCAGGCCCTGATCCCGACCTAGGCTCAGCCCCCGACAACTCGGCCTTGGCCTCGGGCCCTGACTTGGCACCCAGGGGCTCAGCCTCAGCCTCAGGCCCGGATCTGGACCTGAGCTTGGTCTCCACCTCCTGTGGCCGGGTTTCGGAGCTCGGCTCTGCATCTCCGGCAGCCTCCTTTTCCGGCTTGGGGACCTCTGAGGTGGCTGTACCACAGCTGGCTTCCAGCTTCATGACCCTGCAGAAAAAAGAAAATACAGCACCTGGATCAGAGC